AACACAATATTTTCACAAATATGCATATTCTATACAATATTTTCTAAAACACAATGATAAATATGTAATCTTATATTTATAAGCATGAAAACTTAAAACTATGTATGTATATTGTAGGGTCCTGTTTTTGCTTATGTATACCTAGTGTAGGATCGTGACCCTTAAGAATAGAGTGCGCTCTTATAAAAATCTGCGAAAGCTTTACACTTAAACACTAGAGGGTGAGTTTGCAAAGTAGATTATAAATTGTAAAGAAAGAATGACAATCTCAGAAAATAAACATCACAAACACAAGCATGTATACTGGTTCCACCTTCCTGGTGTACATCCAGTCTCCAAGTAAATTCCGCTTGAGAGTTTCAATTATGATTTTGAAACCTTACAAAATCAAAAGTAAACCTGACCAATTTGCAAGACCATGCAAATTGCAAACCCAATTGACAAGATCATGCCAATTGCCACCCAATCTCTAAACCAAAAGATCAACCCTCTCAAACACGAGAGAAATCCTTTTTGAAGCAAGAACACAATTGATCATATAAGCCTTGAATGTGTAGTGAAGTGCAGTAGTGGTTTAGGATTCTTTTAACTCTCTGAATATTGCCTATATAATCTCTAAAAATGATTAAAACCAAGACAATATCAGAAACTCTCTTTTTCTAAACACTTAGCATGAAAATCTGGAAAACTAGAGAGTGAATATACACAAATGTTTGATCTTATTTGTATGAATTAGTTGTGTAAATTTTTGAACTTATAACCTATTTATAGCCCTTGAAAAGACAAGTTTTTAACCCCTAAAAACGTACACAAAAAGACTATAAACAATCATTTATTCAAAACTTAAAATCTAGAAAAACTGCATCTGTAGTCGACTACAAGTCATAGTAGTCGACTACACTGAGTCTAAACAGACTCTGTGAAGTCAGAAGATTGCTTAGTAGTCGACTACAAGGCATAGTAGGACTACACTGTAAACTCATATTCTGGAATTTTCTTTTCAGTATTTTGACTGTAACTTTCTTATCCGATATCGGAATAAGGTGATTTAAGATTTGTTAGAAAGATCTTAAAGAGACCTACAACTTTGATCTTTTGAGTTTTTCCAGATTCTAATTGCTAAAGGGTATAAATGAAATATTTTAAGACTCACTCAATATGAACTAATGACTAGCATAGGGGATTTCTATTGTTAACCAACATACTAAGTATGTGTTAGTGTGTTCTAACATTATGTGTGTGTATGTGTGTGAGTGATCAAGGCTTGTACAAATTTCTAAGCAAAGAAAATATAAAATTATATTTTGACAATAAAGTATATCTTCTTCTTTGCTTCATTTTACCTTGAACTCATCTATGTCTTGAGTATCTCTTTGAATATAATTGTTGATATAGCTCTGATACTGCAAAACAAATGTTAGCACATAATACACATAACATATAATATTTGTTATCATCAAAATAAACTAATCTTGGCGTCAAGATTCCTAACATGCTCCCCCTTTTTGATGATGATAAATATATGTTATTAAGATATAAAAATTTTAATCCCCCTGCATAAAATCATGAAATAAAATCTTTTACTCCCCCTGCATCAAAGCATTAGTAAAAAATTTAAAATTTTCTATATAACTCCCTCTTTGTCATTAACAAAAAGAAATAAATATAATTCTAGTTATTTTTTTTCCCGGGTATCTTAATAAAAATATTAAGCACTTTGGTACCCTTTTATATTATATCATTAGGATTAGCCTTAGGAATCCAAATCCACTTGGCATTTGGTTTCTATTTATTAACATAAGTGTAATTCTTTGAATTGTAAACTTCATACATATAAGATGAAATATAATCATTCCTATCATGAATATTCAAATTCTTAGGAATCCATATATACTTATTTTGTTTAGCATGAATATTCTTATTATTATTCTTCAAAACATAATCATTCTTTGTAAAATACTTAGGAACAAATCCAATGCCAAAATGATTGTTTGAAGATTTTTGAAATGCGAGCAAATTATTCAAATTCTCTTTACTTTTATTAAATTTACTAACATTCAAACATATATCATCATATTTTAATTTAATAGAAGAAATATCTTTATCTAAAACATTAATGCAAATTTTTAAATCATTGCATTCTGATTTTATATAAACATTCTCATTAGTCAAAATATGATTTTCTTTAAGCAAGGATTTATTTTCCTCTTTCAATTCAATTACTTGAGAATAATAAATAGTAGAACAATTAAAATTAGAAATTTCTTCAAGTAATCTTTTATTTTCACCTTTAAGAAAATTATGTGAAACATTTAATCTCAAAAATGTTTCATATAATTCATTGAAAGCATCTAAAAGCTCTTCATTGTCACTTACTTCATCTTGTGCCATAAAACACATATGAGCGCTTTCCTTTTCTTCGATTTCTTCATCCGAAGATGAATTATCACTATCATCCCATGTAGCCGCCAAAGCCTTCCTTTTCTTGTTGAATTTTGTAGACTTTGACATTGATTTTAGAAGGTGACAATCATTCTTCATATGTCCTGGCTTATTGCAACCATAACAAATGAAATTATTATTAGTATCTTTAACATTACTTGTACCTTCATAAGTTACCTCGAGTGTGTGCCAAATATCATATGCGGATGTGGCAGTTGACACCCTATTGAACTCATTCTTGTCAAAAGTACAAAATAAGACATTCATTGCTATGTCCTGGCTTATTGTAACCATAACAAATAAAATTATTATTAGTATCTTTAACATTACTTGTACCTTCATAAGTTACCTCGAGTGTGTGCCAAATATTATATGCGGATGTGACCGTTAACACCCTATTGAATCATTATTGTCAAGAGCACAAAATAAGACATTCATTGCTTTAGAATCCAAGTTTGCATTGTTCCTTTGAGATGTAGTCCATTCCATGAAAGGAGTGGTTGGCTTCTCATATTTTGTTTCCACAATGCTCCAAAGTTCGTAGTCAATTGATTGAATGTAAATCTTCATTCGGCACTTCCAATAGTTATAGTTCAATCCATCGAACATTGGTGGACGATTTGTAGAATGACCTTCTTTGAATTATGATGTATTTGTTGATGCCATCTTTTACCTTGCTCTGATACCAAATGTAGGATCCTGTTTTTGTTTTATATATACCAAGTGTAGGATCGTGGCCCTTAAGAATAGAGTGTGCTCTTATAAAATTCTGCGGAAGCTTTACACTTAAACACTAGAGGGTGAGTTTGCAAAGTAGATTATAAATTGCAAAGAAAGAATGACAATCTCAGAAAATGAACATCATAAACACAAGCATGTATACTGGTTCCACCTTCCTGGTGTACATCCAGTCCCCAAGAAAAATCCGCTTGAGAGTTTCCATTATGATTTTAAAACCTTATAAAATCAAAAGCAAGCCTGACCAATTTGCAAGACCATGTAAATTGCAAACCCAATTGACAAGACCATGCCAATTACCACCCAGCCTCTAAACCAAGAGATCAACCCTCTCAAACCCGAGAGAAATCCTTTTTGAAGCAAGAACACAATTGATCCTATAAGCCTTGAATGTGTAGTGAAATGCAGCAGTGGCTTACGATTCTTTTAACTCTCTGAATATTGCCTATATAATCTCTAAGAATGATTAAAACCAAGACAATATCAGAAACTCTCTTTTTCTAAACACTTAGCATGAAAATCTGGAAAACTAGAGAGTGAATATGCACAAATGTTTGATCTTATTTGTATGAATTAGTTGTGCAAATTTCTGAACTTATAACCATTTATAGCCCTTGAAAAGATAAGTTTTCAACCCCTAAAAACGTACACAAAACGGCTATAAACAATCACTTATTCAAAACTTGAAATCTAGAAAAACTACATCTGTAGTCAACTACAAGTCATAGTAGTCGACTACATTGAGTCTAAACAGACTCTGTGAAGTCAAAAAATTGCTTAGTAGTAGACTACAAGGCATAGTAGTTGACTACACTGTAAACTCATATTCTAGAAATTTTTTTCAGTATTTTGACTGTAACTTTCTCATCCGATATCAGAATGAGGTGATTTAAGATTTGTTGGAAAGATCTTAAAGAGACCTACAACTTTGATCTTTTGAGTTTTTCCAGATTGTAATTGCTAAAGGGTATAAATAAAATGTTTTAAGACTCACTCAATATTTATAAACTCTAATGGCTAGCATATGGGATTTCTATTGTTAACCAACATACTAAGCATGTGTTAGTGTGTTCTAACACTATGTGTGTGTATGTGTGTGAGTGATCAAGGCTTGTACAAATTTCTAAGCAAAGAAAATATAAAATTATATTTTAATAATAAAGTATATCTTATTCTTTGCTTCATTTTGCTTTGAACTCATCTATGTCTTGAGTATCTCGTTGAATATAATTGTTGATATAGCTCTGATACTGCAAAACAAATGTTAGCACATAATACACACAACATATAATATTTTTTATCATCAAAATAAACTAATCTTGGCGTCAAGATTCCTAACATTATGTATAACTATATATATACATAGAAACATATATGTATATGTATGACTACATATACATAGAAACCAATATATATATATATATATATATATATATAGTGCATTTCAAGTGCGGAATGGTGCGTACGCATTTGAAGATCGCGGGGTTGTTTTTGCAAAATGCTCCGCTCATTTATTGTTGTTGTCTCAGCCTCCGCTCATTTTTTCTCTGCTATATCTCATTCTCTCTCTCTCACTTCATTAAAAATCCCCAAATTGAATCTCCCCCAAAAGCCGATCAAATCCCCAAATCCATCTTCAACTCTCCCCCAAAAGCCGATCCCATTCTCTCTCTCTCTCCGACCGAAGCCGACCCGACGACGACCGCAGCCGACCCGACGACGACCGCAGCCGACCCGACGACGAAGTGCTTCATCAAATATGAGATAATGTGTGTACATGGGATTCCGGCGCTTTCGAATTTTTTACAACTACAATAAACCAAATCCAAGTCCTTGTCATGACCGCAGCCAACGAACCGACGAACTGCAAGCTTCTTTCTTTGAATTTGATACACACAGTGATTGTCGGTTTCCCTAACACATTGCAACTTGTAGTTAAAGCTGTCACACACTTCAGCCTCAAACTTATAATACATCTCATTTGTGTAAATATCAACCATTTGCTCCAAAAAGTCATGATTTATTCTAAGTTCAGGTTTCTCAATTACATCTTTGTGATCAGCCATCAACTCCTCGTGACGTTGGCGCACTAGTCCCCTACCAAACTGAATCATGAAATCCACCAATGAATTATTCTTCGAAACAAATTTCTTGAAAAATGCATGTCCACTTTCTGCTCGTTGACTACTTGACATGTCAGCTGAGAATACGTGATTAACATATGCTGGAATCCATCTTGACCGAAGTTCATATTGGTCTTGCAACCATTTGTTTCCTTCTAACCCACTCTTCTTAATCAAACTTTCCCATTGTATATCAAATTCTTCAGGAGTCTCTGATTTCCAAATGCAAGCCGAAAACTCACTCTTATAAATACTATACTTCACTGCATCAATTTTCTCAGAAAACTTTATTAATATATGCCAACTACAATACCTGTCAAAAAAATTTCTAAAGTGTTAAAAAAATAGACAATGTATATAAATATTATTTGAAAGAAAGACAATGTATACAAACTATATTACCTGTGAAAAGTATTTGGAAGAACAAGAGGGAATGCCTTAGTCATAGCTGGATCTTGATCGGTAATAATCATCTTCGGGGCACCACCAGGCATACTTGCCAAAAACTGATTAAATAACCATACAAAATCATCAACGCTCTCATGATTTAAAAATCCACAAGCAAAAAGGATTGTCTGACCATGATTGTTAACCCCCATTATTGGTGCAAATATTAGGCCATATCGATTAGTGTTATAAGTGGTATCAAAGATTACAACATCACCGAAAAAATTGTAAGCCCGCCTTGAAGTTGCATCGGACCAAAAACAACGAGTAATCTTTTGTTCCTCATCAGCCTCAATTTGAAAAGTAAACGAGGGATTCTTTCCTTGTTCCAATTTTAAATACTCATAAAACATTTCACCATCATGCCCTTTCAAATCAGCACGTATATCCCTTTCATGATTATACAAATCTCTTTGAGTGCACCCAATATTTTCTATGCCTCCAGATTGTACTCCAAGAAAACTAAATTGTTGATGCTGATGTATATTCACCATAGAGAACTATTTACTTAAAGACTTTGTTGCGGCTGAAATGTTATGATGGGACCTTAAAAGATGAACCTTTGATGGTGTTGATAGAGGGTGGCTGTGCTCCTCATTAAAAACAGTAACAATGTATTTTCCGGAGTTTGATTTTAAAACTGCAATTTTGGCATGACAATCCTCTGCTAAGCTTCCTCGACGTCTTTTATTTCCAACATCCGCGATTCTTGAAGATTTTCCTTGTTTAAAACAAACATACTCCTTCCTTCTTATTTCACCACTTCCCGGCTCTTTCTGTGTAGTCCAAGCCCTTACACTAAACCCAGCTGCTTTTGCATAAGCATTGTAGAATGTCACAACATCATTAATTGTGTCAAATTCTTGCCCCTTTTGTGGCCTCAACTCATCTGATACTTGAGGAGTATATATCGAGCTATCGTCATTCAAGTTTTCCATTTCTCAAAAAAAATTGTAATTGACCTATATAAAATGCATATAATATCAAATTTCGAACCAAATGTTATCAAATTAATAATTCATATCAAATCTGAAGTTACATGTCATGTTATCAAATTAATAATTCATGTTATCAAATTAATTTCAATAACAGATCCTAATTGCAGCAAAAACCAAAAATTTCCTAAAAATCCACGTTATGACTTCCACGTTATGACTTCCAAAAGCCAAGCAGTTGTTGTTGTCCAAAATACTGGTCTGCCAAAAATGGCAAAGGGGTAATACAGATATCAGCAGACCTTGACATAATACAGATAACAGATCCTAATCGCAAAGATTATATTTTTGGGTATTGAGATAAATTAATTTCGGACTTGTGCTGAAATATTGAGAAATTTCTAAAAACTCAAAAAAATTCCTAAATCAATAACAGATCCTAATTGCAGCAAAAACCAAAAATTTTAGAAAATTTTACAGCTGAACAGGAACGAGAGGTCGTCGGGTTGAGGGAGATCTGAAGCTACAGTTGAGCACTTTGTCGTCGGGTCGGATGCGGTCGTCGTCGGGTCGGCTTCGGTCGTCATCCCCCTCCACCCGGGTCGGCTTTAGGGGAGAGTTGAAGATGGATTCGTCCGGGTCGGCTGGCGGTCGTCGTCGGGTCGGCTTCGGTCGGAGAGAGAGAGAGAGAGAGAGAGAATGGATCGGCTTTTGGGGGAGATCTGAAGGATGGAATCGTCGGGTCGGCTGCGTCGCGTCGGTTGGGCTGCGGTCGTCGTCGGGCTCGGGCTTCGGTCGAGAGACCGAGAGAGAAATGGGATGCGGGCTTTGGGGGAGAGTTTGAAGGATGGAGTTTGGCGGATTTTTGATGCGGCTTTTTGGGGGAAGAATTCAATTGGGGTTTTAATGAAGTGAGACGAGAGGAATGAGAATAAGCAGAGAATAAATGAAGCAGAGCTGAGACAACAACAATAAATGGCCGGAGCAATTTTGCAAAAACACCCCCGCGAATCCCTTTCAAATGCGTAATGCACCATTCCGCACTTGAAATGCATTATATATATTAGTAAATTTATTATATATATATATATATACTATATATATATAGTATATATATATATAATATATATATTATATATATATATATATATATATATAGCTATATGTATATAACAGTAATAGGTAAGATGAACAAACTTGTGTTGTATATATTATTATATATATATATATATATATATATATATATATATATATAATATATATATATATATAATATATATATATATATATATATATATATATATATGAATATATATATTAATTATATATATTATATATATATATATATAAAATTAAGTATATATATATATATATATATATATATATATATATATATATATATATATATAACTATATATATACAAGGAAACAAATATAATGTATGTGTATATATGATTGAGCTTAAAGTACTTAACACACATAATATAAAACCTAAACTAAATGTTACCCAAGCTTGATTGATCTTCGATGTAGCTCAACTTGGTACACTTGCGGATGAAGCTAGAACTTGGATATTAAATTTGAATTGCATATGCTTCACTCCACAATTCCGCCAACCTCCATTGGATATAATCGTTGAAGCGCAATTCCATCCATCCTCCAACATATTGTTTGTCTACAACAACTACAAAACTACAAACACTAGACAAACAATATTAGTTGTAAATTATTTATAAATCATCATCAAAACAAGAAGGCCAACAACTCTTACTTTTAAATAGAGTATGATAAGGCTAATAGTAAACTACAAATCTCTTTTTGTATACAAATAGGGGATGTAAACCATTTCTTTTTTCATCTCTATCTTTTGTATAGTTTGATTTGTTCTTTGCTCACAAAATAACAAATCCAAATTTTATATGTTTATAATGTCATCCACTTGATTCTCCTATTCATTTAGGGTTTTAGTCTCAATAATTTGACAGGGCTATCTGTCATGACAATAGGAACCACTAACCTATTCTTTAATAGATATAAGGTCTTCATATGTAACTACTAGTCCACCATGTTCATAAAAATTAAAATTTGGGTAAATTTTACTAAACCCAATAAGTTTGGGCATTTGACATTTAAACCTCAATAACTTTCAAACTCTCACTAAACCCTTAAAAACTTTTAGCAGAAAATTTTCAAATTTAAAATTATTAGTTCATATATCGTCGAATGACTCGATAACTTTTGGTAGAAAGGGCCCAATAATTTTTTTTATTTATTTTGTCATTTAACCCCAAATAACTATCAATAGAAAATTGCTAAAATTATTGTTTATAAATTTTAGGGTTTTGTGTGTATCTTTTAGATTGTTTAGAATTTAATTTTCAGATTTCAAAATGGGTTAATATTTGTAATATTCAAAATTTTTAAGTAGTTGTTTGTAATTTTCAAATTCTAAGGGTCTGAATGAAATTTTTTAGATTTTTTAATAAAGTTTTTAAATTTAAATTTTTTTAGGGAGTTGTAATTTTTCATAGTTTTTCAGTGATCTGTTTATAATTTTTGGATTACTCAAAGGTTATTTGTAATTTTTAGAACTTTAATGGGTTTTTTTTAGCTTTTAGATTTTTAAAGGGGGTTCTTCATAGTTTCATATTTTTCAGTGGACTATTTATAATTTTTATATTTTTAAGAGATTGTTTGTGATTATATTGGTTAAATTGCAAATAGGAGCGATTTGAAAGATATTTTGGTATTGAGGGATAATATTCATCAGCGTAAAATTATTAGGTAATGTTCTCATCAATTTAAGTACAAATAAGTAAAAATATTTTTGAACTTTTCTAAAATCCCAACGCTTATCGGTAGTTTCAAAGATATTGTGGCCTTAGTGCCAAACAACTAAACTTATTGGTTGTTTAGAGAAATGTTTCTTTAAAAAAATAAGAATATGTGGCAATTTTAGATTGTGGGTAACTATTATATTTTTTTTAATTATGGATAATTTATGATTTGATTACAATTACAAAATATTTGATTATAATTAGAACTTTTCTAACTATGGAGAGGATTTAATTTGATTAGGATTCTTAGTTAAATATATGATTAAGTGTCAACACGTCACCTTCTCATGTGATACTGGTAATTTTTATGCATTTAGGAATACCATAATTTTCTCATTATATAGAAAAGGAGGACTAGTAATGCATGGGAATTAAAAAGTTTGGCAATAAAAGGATATTCTTTTAGTATATAGTATAGACACATAGTCACATAGACATATGAATATATCAAAATTTGATGAGTTCCATGTAAAGTTAAAAAACTATTATCTATGGACTAAGTCACTAAGGTGTTGCACTTAACAAGAAATTAATAAAAAAAATTAGGGCAAATTACAAGAAATTCTTTGTCTATGTTTTAATTTCAATGAATCCATCACAACTATAAAGTCAAAAGAAAAAAGAAAAGAATAACCCCCTAAAACCCACAAGCCATAAAAGGGGAATTTCAACCTCGTACAAGTAACCATTAATCCTACTAATCATGCCAACTAATCTTAGCAAATCAAGGCGTGAATGGCGTCCGAGTTTTGCTTCAAAAATGCTGCGCCTAAACAAAAAAGGGCGATATAGAATGAAATTAATAATTGACGCTATACGATTTTTATAGAGAGCAAGAGTTCAATGCTCCACTCATGAGTTAGGGGTCTTTGCATATATACCCCTCACATCTTCTATATTTCTAAAATTATTCTCCAAATATTACATTTGCAAAATTACTTTTCAGTTCTCTCACATTGTTTTTTTCTACCTCATTCATTTTACATTTTTTCGTTTTTAAACGGGAAATTGTCACAAACTTATTAGAAATTATTAAAAATTTTGGGATTGCCTTGCTTGAAAACCATTGTTCTTGAGTTGGATAGTAGAAAGACCTAATATACTAGCTTTGAAGAGTAATATTTCCAAACATCAAAATTTGAGGGGTAGTTTCACAAATATTGAAGATTTAATAGGTATTGCCACCCACTCACAACTGATCAAAGGTTTGACCCCCAAGCTTTTTTATTACATCCCAATGAATAAACCATTTTCAAAATCAACCTCAAAATTGTTATATTTCCTTTCTTTAAAGAAATTTCCCTACTTTTTATCGTCCTTTTAAGCAGAACTGTCCATTTACGTTACTTACCGTAAATCTATAATTGTTTGGGTAGAAAATTATTTTTATTGCTGAACTCATTACAACTTTGGACGTTACAATAAATTCAAAATAAAGATAGCCTTTTTATAAGACTTTCAATACAATGAAAATAAATTACAAGTCTCTTTCAAACAACACGCAACAGGTGTTTATCGTCTATTGTTTGCATGAGATCTTTGCCTGTGCCGGGGACGTTGATATCCGTGGACCGCCTACGGATCGGATCCGGTTGACAGAAGTATTTGATTAGAGCTCATACTTCACGAAGGAAGTAATCGCTGCAGCGATGATCCCGACCAAGCGAGATCAGGACTCTTCTCGAGATTTAAGACTAAGTTTAAATCCGGAGGAATAGGGGACGAGTCTCAGATCTCTCGAACTCCACTCTTTATGCATAGGAACTCGCTAAGATCTGCTAACCCTCGCTATAAATTCGTGGCTCCACTCTCCAATTCGGCAGCGTTTCGCCCTCTTGATCTCCGCCTGTGAAATGAGCCCCTAGACCTTTATTTATAGGCTTCAGTTGGGGAGTTTTCAGATAAGAATGGATGATTTGACCCTATCTTCAGTTAATAACGGCCTAACCATATTTGTGGATGATATCCAATCAGTTGAGACACTCTGAAACGGACAAATCCCGAGAAAACAGAAAAAGAACCGTCGAAAACGTGTTTTGACAGTTCTGGGCACGAGACAGACCGCGGTGACCCACGCGTGCGCGGGTCACCATGAGGTGACCCGCATGAGCGCCGGTTCTGAGCTTGTTTTAACGTTTTCGATGTTTTCCGACTGTCCCGGACTTG